AGATAAATATAATTTATTTATTTCATATATACGATATGGATGTCCAATTGAAGATCGTCAAAAGATAATTAATTTGATATATTATATATGTAAAACTGATAAGAAATACAAAAGTTACCAACTTTTAAAATACATTTACAATTCAATAGCTAATTGAAGGAAACAAATCAAAAGTCAGGAATATAATAGTCAGTTAGTGCCTCACTATGCAATATTACAATGAATTAAAGAGTTATATTAGTGTAAGTGATATTAAATACCTAAGTTAGCTAATAATATTTATAGAATGTCCGAACCTATATTATGAATTATTAATATATCAATATTATTTGTCAAAACCTTATTACGAAGCATTATTCTTCGCCAAGTAGGATTCCGAAGCACCAGAAGCAGCCACGTAGGCTCAGCGCATTCGAAAATTATATATAGGGGGGATTTGGATGAAGAACTAAATTGCACGTACGTCAATATGTATTCGTAAAATTTGAATTTAGAGGCAACTTTTGATTGAATAAGAATCAAAATATTACATCCATCAGAAAATACAGAAGACGCAAAATAACATATGTATTTGACGCGGCTTAGTTTGCAGCATCTATCTAGCTAGTAAATATTAAATGATAATTAGCTATATATATGTGTATTGACTTTATTGCAAATTTGATCAATTGGTTGGCTTCGTGCCTACGACACAAAATTATGTTGCACAGTTTAGTGTAGAAAGTGCGGGCTGAATGAGAATCCTGACGATTCGAAGCGAGGCTTCTTGCGTCATATGCAAACCATCCCAGAATATGTAATTGTTTGGATTGGAGCAAACAGGTACACCCCGACTACCACAAAACCTTCTGCTATTGTAGTTGTATTTTCCTCCAATTCCACAACAAGCTTGCAGTGTTGTGTTTCTAAACGGGCCTGTATGTTCCAAATAACACAACGAATAATCGTTAGCTTACAAGAAAAATATTGAAACAATTAATTTAAGAGTGAAAATTAATTTAGAAATATGCGCTATGAATAATAATAATAATAATAAAAACAATTACTGGCCTGCTAATGTCTCGGTAATAACTTGCCGCATCCCTTCGTCCATCGGGCCATACATTATGCTAACGTCTGGGAACTCTGTGCTCAGATTTCTCATAGCAGCTTGGAGATTGTCGTTTTTAAATGCGATTAGATCATTTACGCTTTTAAGACAACCCATATTATCGTAAGCGTCGGGATGATTGCTACGCAGTGCAGTTAAGATATATGGAAAGCACCCAATTAGAGCATTTCCAGGAATTATTATATGTCTCGCACCCATGTTGATCAGCTCCTGCATGATGCATCAATATATATTCAGTTAAATTAATTTGGTCAGTGTTGAAATGATTTTTCTTATACATATGTATAGCTAATTATTTGGATATATATAGTAGTACTTACTCTTGTTGCACTTATTTGAGTTTCCGTTATGTAAGGCACATAAGTTTGTACTTCTCTAATTGATTTGCCCTGAATCAGTGAGTAGCCCACGTCATTGGCTTCAATATCCCCCAGCAGTATTAGAGAATTTCCCAACCTATTTGCACAGTCTTATCATATAGAAATAAATATAATTAGTGAAGTATATTATAGTTTAGAAGGTCGATTAACACACACAAACACACACGTATATATTTGCACTAATATAATTAAT